ACATAACTTACTGTATATCTCGAGCCGCACAAGCTTGCCCATGGTTGCGGATTTGTGTGGTGGGATGTCGCGGGGGTGGATGGCGACGGCCGCGGTGAAGCGCGTACCTGGTCGCGTCAAGCAGCGCACAAAGCGCCCGCCGTAGTTGGCGTCTCAGGTGGGCCGCAGTGACGAAACCAGGCCCTCTGCCCCATGTGCTTGGTTGATTCACCGTACATTGTCATACACGCACAGATATACTCTCACGTATATCCCGCATATACACTCTTGTACATACACCAACACCGCCCATACACAAGTACACAAACTGTGTATATTCTCTGCTCATCAGGCACACGCGTTACTCATCCTCGTGACCTTTTGTCCTCACACGCCCCCCGCCGCCGTAGTGCCACCACCAGAACAACGTTGTCTAGCTTGCCAATCAACAGCTGGCATTTACCCACGATTTTTTTCTCGACAGCTGCGAGACGGAACAGCATCGAACCCATACAGAACCCCCGCAAATCGCTCCTGTCTTGTCTTGTCATGAGAACATAGGCCCTGACTGCTTCCGACTCAAGCTGCCCTCCATCACTGTACGCTCCTCCCCCAAGTGTCGGTCCTTTTTCTCCACCATGGCCCACGCCAGGCAAGCTGGCTGCTATACACCTGCTAACAGCTGTCATGGCTCCAGTCTCTCCTCCTCGCTCCCTCAAACGACTCCTCCACCGCCGAACCCCTTCGAACCTCGAGATTGTCCCGGAAGAAGTGCCTGCCATGTCAGCTCCAGACGATGACGCTGGCCCTGTGCCCCCCAAGTCCCACTCAGAGCCCCAGCTAGGAGTTTCTGTCCTCTCAGCACGTCCGCTGCCTGGCGACTCTACTCACGCAGGTGCTGCTTTCCTCGACGACACTGCGCCCTCATCCGTAAACCAGCCAACTTCTAGCCCCGGCCTCTCCCGCACTGCATCCTTCTCCAATAGCTCCTACCATGACGAGTCCGACCCTGAAGATGCCTCCTTCTTCCCGCCTGTCGAGAAGCTCACCATGTTTGACTTTGTCGAGAACCTTGCTCTCGCCCAGCGCATTGAGAAGATACAGAGCTCCATCTCCAACCAGACGGAGCGCATCAGGAACCAGGCAAAGAACAGGGGCATAACCAGAGATCGCGTTGTCGAGGAGTGGCGACGCAGAGTGCCAACTGAAGCCGAGCAACTCGACAAATATAAGAAGCGCATGCGCCGCTCGGTCGACCGTCTGAACCAGCGCTGGAACGAGTCTCTCACAGTGACTGCGCGCGAAAAGACATCCTTTATCGCCGCCGTCTTGAACATCTTTGTCTCGGGATACTTGGTCGGATCCCATCCAGAGTGGTTCCCTCACTGGTACACGGCCCAGCTGCTCTACTTTATGCCAATCCGCTTCTTCACGTATCACAAGAAGGGCTACCACTACTTCTTGGCTGATCTGTGCTACTTTGTCAACATCCTCTTGGTCCTGACCATGTGGGTTTTCCCTCAGTCTAAACGACTCTTCATTTCGACGTACTGTCTTTGCATGGGAAACAACGCCGTAGCCATCATCATGTGGCGTAACTCGCTCGTCTTTCACAGCATGGATAAGGTTGTCAGGTTAGTATTGCATAGTCGTGTTTATATTCATGTACTTACTTTTGTAGTCTTTTCATTCACATCATGCCATGCGTCACCCTACACTGCATCGTCCACCTGCTCTCGCCAGAATATCAACAAGAACATTATCCCGCCATCTACAACATTCGCCATTCGGACCCAACCTCGCCCCACCACTATGGTCTCTTCCAGATGATGCTCTGGGCCACTTGTCCGTATGCGGTTTGGCAGCTATCCTACCACTTCCTCATCACGGTGCGCCGTCGCGATCAGATTGCAGCAGGTCGACCAACCAGCTTCACGTGGCTACGAAAGTCGTACGCCAAGACCTGGATTGGCAAGATTGTCCTTGCACTGCCCGAGTTCCTTCAAGAGCCCGCTTTCATGTTCATCCAATACAGCTATGCTGTCCTCACCATGATTCCCTGCCAAGTGTGGTTCTGGTACCGCTGGCCTAGTGGTCTCTTTCTGAGCATCGTCTTCGTCTGGAGCGTCTACAACGGGGCTACCTACTACATTGACGTGTTTGGAAACCGCTTCCAGAAGGAGCTTGAACAGCTCAAGAAAGACATGGCAAAGTGGCAGTCTTCGCCCGAGGGAGGCTTCACGCCTTATACACCTGCAGGTGATAATGCAGAGAAGCAGCTAGGTTACATTCCTCCACTCGAAGGCAGCACCAGCGTGAAGCCGGTTGATGGAGAGACGCGGGAGAGGAAGTAGCATGCTGATATTGATTGATTTTTTTACAGATTTACAACGAGCATGTAGTGAATCTAGATCTCCTTTGCGAGCTGCGAAGTCTATTTTAGAGTGAGGGATCCCTGTTTGGCGTCGGAGTTGCGGGTAGTGTTTTTATTCTTTTGAGTAATGGGACTTTTATTGGGTTACGGGATGCATGTGCTATTTTCGACTGGTTGATTAGATATACCCTCTTTCCTTCGCTTGGTCTGCGTCGTTGTTATCCGTAGCATGCGTTTAATATTAGAGTTGGTTATTCTCGATTTGCGTCGAAGTTGTGCAGTGGGTGTGAATGAGGTAGTGTGTACGACTTCATCAAGTGTGATTATTAAATAAATTCATTACTGCGTGGATTATGTGGTATTACATACCGAGAACATGCAACCCCATCCTTTATCCCATCATCACCCCCTCCCATCCTCCACTCACCTATCTATGCCCCGCATTCTCCGGAAACTTATACCTCTCCGGCTCGCCCTCAATCCCATTCTCCTCCCTCCACTGCCTACGATCCACATCACTAACGCCCGGTCCCCTATACACACTCCCATACAACCCACTCGCCCACTCTTTGCCGGGCCCCTCTTTACTCTTCCTCGTCGCCCTCCTCCTATACCACTTCCCATAGCACAAAAGATAATACAACCTAAAGCACAAAAACGCAAAGCGATCTCTCTCCAAATCAGCGGGATACTCGGCACCAAGATCAACAGCAGCAGCGATGCCGCTCATAACCGCGACTTCATGCGCATTTATCAGCGTCCAGGCTGCCGCGAAGCGCGTGTGGCGGCGTCCTTGCAACAGCCACATCCATGGGACTACGAAAGCGTAATGGGTCCAGGAGTGGCAGAGCTGGTGCCACCAGTCTTTTCGGATAATCTTGTCTGGATCGATTTCATCAATGGACCAGAGATGGCCGTCGCGTTCTTTGTTGAGGTAGATTGTTTGGAAGACGTGCTTGTCGAAGGGGACCGAAGGGGGGAATTGGGATTGGTAGTTTGTGCAGTCGAAACACATTTCTAGTTTGGAGCGGTCTGAGGGGTACATTTTTATGTAGTACATTGGCTTGAAGTTTTTGGCGGCGTAGGCGTTGCGTTGGGATTGGTCCATGGTGCTGAGGGTGGAGACGGCACGTTGTTCGGTGTAGAAGTTTTCGTAGTGGTTGAGCATGTAGGTCGAGTCCCAGTGGGTTACGGTTATGTCGTTTGAGAATTTTGCGGAGCCGAGGACGTAGGATTCGCGGTGGGAGGCGGTGGGGGTTAGGATGCGTTTGGCCGTGTCGGCGCTGGGTGGTTGTTAGGATTGTAGGAAGATATGGTGTTAGGGGATTTGGGGGGTAACTTTACAGAACGCAGAGAATCAACTCATCGTAGTGCTCTTCCTTCTCCTGTGCATCGGCGTCGTAATTGTGCTCGTCGTCATATGGCACATGGGCACTGTTGGGGTTATGCGCATCAGGCATCGGCGAGCGCTTGATCAACCGGACTGTAACACCAGTCTTATCGCGCTTAACAACTTGCGTTACTTCTGTCGAAAGCCGGACGTTGACACCCCTCTTAATCAAATCCTGTCTCCAGCGCTCGTAGAATTCGCTGAACTTGGGGAAGACTACCATCGGCGGCAGGTTGCTCGCAATACTGTGTTTGTCTGGTGGATACCACATTCCGTACGTGGGACTCGTGCAGAGCCGCTCGAGAATGATGCTAGGGACGTTTGGGGTTTCGTTGCCGGTACCGAGGAAGAGGGCGATCATGGGCATGGCGACGGTGTTTGTGAATTCCTCGGAGAACATGAACATTTTGAAGAGGACCTTGATGGGGATGAGGGCGAAGAAGAGTTCGAACCAGCGGACGATTTTGAGCATCGTGTTGAAGCGTCGAATTTCCTTCTGGTGCCGTGCGAGGAGCTCAGTGGGGAAGACATTGGTCCAGAAGATGTCGTCTTTGCCGAACGAAACGTGGAGATTGACGGGGTCGGCGTGGTGGCCTTGTCGTGCAAACATGGTCATGGTGTGGTGGAAGATGTAACTTCCACCTTGAACACCTTGGTTGAGCCATGCGGCGCCATGACGCTCCTTGTCAATGTCAATTGAAAAGGCCTGGCCTCCACAGTAATCTACTGCGTCGATGAGTGTAACGTCGAATTTGTCGGGGTGCTCAGAGAGATGGTGAGCACACGACATTCCTTTTTCACGTCAGTAACGACATCATCTACATCAATCACATGTCCGTACCAGCAGCTCCCGCTCCCACAACGAGCACTCTCTTCTTCTTCCCATCCTTGTTGTTGCCGCCCGCCATGTTCGTCGTAGGCAAAATAGGCTCCGTGTCGCGTGAATGTGACATCAGAAAAGAAGAAAAGTATCAGCACTTTAGCTGCCTACTTCAATGCCACGAGCGACCACACGGCTTGTATTTGTTCGTAGTTATCACGACATAAATGTCGAGCAGATGCGTCATGGAGTTCCAAAAGCGGAATAGACAGATCTGATCGATCGTACATGCGGCACGCCGATCGCTCCTGGCGGCTCGCTAATCATCAACACCATACTAGAATGTGATGTCATTTACGCTGTACTTCAAAACTCATGACGGCAAGATAAATTCGCTAGTATTATGTGCTGTCTTCCAGCACAGGTTCAACTTTGAATTATATAGTATGTAACCCTTTTAGCGTCTTGGACGTCCAATCCTCGACATCAGTGTTAGCCGTCTCAATGGTCTGTTCAGCGCCCGAAGGGGGATCTGGCATAGCAGCAAATGCCACGGGGTTTGTCACATGGCCCAAATCGAAGAAATCTAATCCTAGGTCCGCGGTCGCGTTTGTGAACCAGTCCTCACCCAGATCTGCGAGCTGCATTACGTGCTCGACACCTGCGTCGCTCGCCGCGGGGGCTACGGGCTCGAGCAATGCATCGTGCGGCGTGTCTGTCGGCGTCGGCGACTTTCTGTCAGCAGCAACCTCTGTTATATTAGCAAACTGCAGCGCGATCCGGCTGAGCGTCTTATAGGTAGGCGCAAGAGTTTGCATGTCGCGGATTTGATCTAGTACGGCCCGTACAGTCGTCTTGCGCTCAGTATCCTTGGTTGACTCTGCCTGTCCCTTTGGACGGGCGAGAAAGTCTGCGCATACAATCATGATGGAGTGAAAAACATAGTAGAAATCCAGCCACGAGTATCCGATGATGCCAAGCTCGATGCCGGCCCTGATGCATTGCAGGCTTTTGTGCACAGACTCGACGCAGTCTTCGGCCAGTGCAAGGGTTGTTCGCCAGTCGTCAGAATCGGTAAACATTTCGTTTTCAAGAAAGGAGAGGCTACTTTCAATCTTTTGTACCAAGAAATCCCGGGTAACCATGCAACGCGTGTGGTAGTAGTAAATATGCAGCAGCAATACCATAGATCTGTGCTCCGACGTCAATGGATAGCAGTCCAGCGACATGTTTGGAGGAACGGTTGCGATAAAAGCGTCAAGTTCTCGCAGTAAAGCTTTTGCAACAGCAGGCGTCGGTGAGCGTTCTTCAGCTGAAGTTTGATCAAAATAGGCACGTTGCCGGATACTATAAGAAAGGCGGACGAGATCGAAGCAAAGACTAGCAGAGTCTCCGGATATACTTGGTTGCCCAAATGTCTGGAATTCTGGCATATGAAGTGACATTTCGCGATCATCAATCGCGGTCGGGCGGCCAAGAACACTGCACAAGGTTTTTTCAAAAATGTAAATGGTCCACCAGACTTGGCGGCGTATATTCCGCTCGACAAACTCGAATTCTTGATTCGAAGCGTCTCGATGCATTCCCATGGTAGTTGCCTGCGACACGTCATTAATCAAAGACTCACTCTACCTGATCAGTTACTAACCATGCGTGCAGCGAGGCCTATAAGCAGCCATGAACTGCTCTTTTGCCCAACGCTGTGATGGTGCATGTTGAGCAGAACAAGTGCCTGGACATTATCCAGGCAGGCCGTTGTTAGGAGCCGCCGAAAGTAGTTTTTAGAAAATTTGAGGTACTTGACTCGCAGCTCACGGGCTTGCTTAGAGTCGAGTCCGTCCAGTTGCTGACATCCAAACGAGAAGACCAGGGCTAATGCCACCAGCCAGCCAATGTCCTTGCATTCGTCGATCAATTCGGCTTTGCGAGAATATGTTGCTTCCATACGAAGATGGAACACGCTTCGATTGAACAAAGGCATGTACATGTGAATCCGGCTAAAGTAGGCAGACACCAGGGCCTCGGCGGTAGCTTTCGGCGGTAAGAGAGTCCCGATGGAATCTCTGCTCAGACTATGCTCGCGAGACAGAAATTCATCACTGGAATCATCCAGTTCTGACCTGGATCTTTTGCGACTTCTTTTGCCAGACAGGGGAAGTTGAATTGTTTCAGGCAAGGTAAGGTCTTCGTGGGATGGGTCAGTGCTGCTGCGTTTCAGAATGGAGCCAGAGTTGCTGGATGGGTCTGAGATGAAAGAGTGGGCGCTTGCGCCCGTGATTGATATCCATCGAGCAGCAAGAGCACGTATTGTCGTGGCAAGGCGAAAACTGCTCGAGGGACCAAAGTAGTGGGAGGTACGTCGGTTTGCTCGCAAGAGTTCTTCTGCCCGAGAGGGGGGTCGCTGGGGATCGGAGAGGGTGATTGGGCGATTATGTTTGCTTTTGATGGGTGGAAAATCAGTGTGAGAAGAATGGGTAGTGTCGTGTGTGGTGGCATATAGACCAGCGGGTGCCTGTCGGGGAAAGGAAGATGCCTGAAAAGGCTGAATTGGAGGTTGTGGTTGCGGTTGTGGTGGTAGTTGTTGTTGTTGTTGATGTTGCTGCTGCTGCTGCTGCTGCTGAAGTTGTTGTGGTTGTTGCTGCGACGACGACGAGGAGCGCTGGTCGCTGGCAGTGGCGGTGGTGTTGAAGATGTTTGCCGGAGTAAAGTCATCATTGGCGGGCATGGTGATATTCCTCGCGGCCGCGATCCTAAACAGCGTCTCTGTATCCTGGACATTATCGTTGGGGAACAGGCCCTTGACCAAGGCCTCGAGCGCCCTATAGCGTAAACTCAGCGTCTCGACACTGCCGTAGACGCGCTGCTTGCGGGGGAGTTTGGATTCGCAGGCCACACCACTGGCCTTGCAATCGGCGCATGGCATGTCAGCATTGTCGCGAATGCATCGCGCCCGGCGGATCTTGCATCGGTCGCAGCTCACCAGCGCCCGCTTGCGAGACGAGCCAGACTTTGCCGGGCGTTCCGTCATGGCCGTGTCGCGTGCGAGGCCGGGCGCAAGGGGATGTGGAGGAGTAGGTTCAGTGAGGGGAGTGAAGGGCTTCCGGGAGAGGAGAAGCACTACTCTACGAGCGCGACGCCATCGCGGCAGATCAGGGTCTAATCTCGTTTCTGGCTTCTGGCTTGGGGCAATTGGCAGCAGAGTTTGTCGTTACGTCGCTCTGGGTCGAGCGGAGCGTCTTCCGCGAAAAAGCACACGTACGCACATGCCCGCAGCTGACAAGTGGCCCAGCAGAGCCGATGTCTTTATATGTATCCAACGCTATACATATCTCTGTACATGTGTAGAGTACATCCATCCATAAGACAGACATACTCGGTCCCATTACCATGACCGTTCGGCGTGAAATATTGGCGCGTCTTAGTCTGCTCCATACGAACTTCCCCTTTCGGCCCTTCTCATATACCCCGACAGTCCGGCAACTCCGGCCATGGCCAGTTGGAGCACCGCGCAACACGCCCCGTCCTGGCGACAGATCATCTAGGCGAGGCGCTTGCAAAAGACAAGTAGGTACAACATTAACCAAGAATCTTCAAAACGCCTTGCTCGCTGCCCAAGCCACTCCCGCTACTCTACTCTACTCTAGATACACAGGGATGCCATACACCACCGCAGCCGCCCCGTTGAGATATCGCAGCACACAGGCCTTGCGTGCTTCCCGGACGGCTTCGTCCAGCCCGACTCCCCTCGGTCTCTCGCCCTCAATCCCACCATCGCCATCTGCTGCCCTGGCAATCTTTTTGCCCTTCTTTGCGCTTTCCCCACTTCGCACTCCCTCCACCTCGTCTATCAATTGCCCAGCTCTACCTTTGCCTTTAGCCTTCTTTGCAGGCGTCTTGCCCACACTCTTCACCGGACCACCACTGTCGTCTTGCGACTCGGGCCACAGTCCCCATAGCTCGCCAGCCTTGACGGCAAAGCGATCGCAGTCCTTGTCCGTGACATCCCAAAGCATGCCCACAACAGCCGGTGCCCCGGCAGTAAGATAAGAAGCGAGCATCCCCGACGGTTCGAATATGCCGTTTTCACTAAGGTGGACGGAAGAGCAGCCAAACAGTAGCGTCGTCGCACATCCTGCTTTCCTGCCCTCCTCGTCTCCTTGGCCTGCATACAGTCGTCGTACTGCCTTGGACTTGACATATTGTGCACCGCTGCCGTGACCAAAGTACAGCACTAGATCCTTTTCTCGCAGACTGCTTTCAAACTCCTTTTCTGATGGCGCCCGATTGCTAATGCGATCCCATGATCCCTGGAGTTGGTCTAGACGCGGCGCGATCGTCTTAGATGTGTGTGCCAGGTCCCCTGATGGGTTGAGCATGCTCGTCCCCCTCATATTGGAGCAAATGTAATGGCCAGCCGGCGCAGTCTCCGCTTTGGATCCGCACGGTCGTGCCGAGAGCAGCCTTTCGCGAAGGGCCGCAAGCGAGGGTAGTCTAGAGATTGATAGCTGCTCTAGGCATGGCAGCGACTCCCATGGGAACCCGTGCAAGTCCTTATCCAAAATGAGTATCGTGTGACGGCAAGCAGCTTCCAGCTTTTGTGATGCACTATGGTACGCCCGGAGAGCTTCATACGTCTCGACCACCATGGCATCAAAATCGAGTTCGTCATATGCATTGCGCTCACCGTTGAACTGGAGGATGTCAACAACAAAGTAAATCAGATCCATCAGCGCTTCATCCAAGTCGAGTTCCTCGTTGGTGGCGTCCCCAAGCCCAATAAACAGCTCCAGAACTCGTGCATCCAGTACCGGTCGCTTTTGTTGACTCTTCTTTTTCCGAGACGGCAGGTGATCGTTTAGGATGTTCTCCAGTGACTTGCGGAACTCTGCAAGCAGAACTGGTTGTCTCTCGTGCTGTGAAAAGACACCCTTGAAGCCGCCAAGCCAGATGTTCTCCATGTTGATGAGTAGCTCGTGTAGCCGCGTGTCGAGAGCCTCACGTTCAGCCCACCACTGTTGTCTTGCCTCCCTCGAAGTCATATCCTTGGCGCTTCGCGTGCTAAAGTCGCTGAGCTCGATAATCTCGTCAAAGTCTCTCTTTCCGTCGTCAAACGAGAACTCGTCCTCGTCCATGTCGCGAGAGGCGTGGCGAGCCAATGGCAGGCGCAACACAAATGGCGACAGACCCTTCTCGAAACGAGTAATGAAGAGCTCATCGCGGGCTTCACTAAGAGCCAACGATACCGCATTCCACGTCTCCGGGATGATGTCAACGTAATCTTTTTGAAACTCCGATACTGACGCAAATGAAAAACTTGATGCATCTGTCACCGGCCATTGCATGCACTCGTCGCGGGATAATTGCTCTTTTTCCGCCTCAGTCGACTCCTGCACAAGCCTCAATGCGTTGACCTTGGGTAGTTCACTCATGTATGCCGCATACATCGGGTGTAGAGAGCCTGGCAGGTCGCTACCCGCCACAGCTGACATGAGCACCGTAACATGACCCAGCGCCATGGAAGTCTGGCGGAATAAATGGTTCGAGCCATTGGTGGCACACAGAGCATGCGCTTCTACAAGTCTGTCTCGTGCTTCGCGGAGTGTGTCCATAAAGTCCTCTTTTGGTTGCTTCTTTGCTCGGCCAGCTTTGCTAATAGCAGAAGACACAAGAGTCCCTTTCTTGACAGGTTCTACCTCGGAAAGCCTGCGGTCTTTGAGACCAAAGGCAGGGAACGCAATTGTCGACTCTGGAAGTGTGTTGACAGTGAAGTCTTCCGCAATCTGCTTTGCGCTCTGTGCAAGCCTCGCTTTGAAAGTAGCCCACATGTGCGATACTTCCTGGTTCAACCCGTTCTGCAGGTCTTCCGCTTGACCAAGAAGCTTCAGAGCTTCAGTGAGATCGTCGTGTAGGATATTCGCAAGTACAGCTCGATCCCTCATGCTTGCTTGGAAGACACACAATCCGGCACACTGGTCGGTAGTGGTCGATTCCTCTGACGCTGGTGGAGCACTAGGTTGGCGGGTTAGTTTCGGTGCCGTCTTTCCAGCTCGGGTTGTAGCTGCTCTAGGCCGGGTACCGGTGGCAGACTTTGCGGTTGTCCGTGGTGCGGCTTTGGCCGCAGGCTTACGGCCTCTTGTTGCCGGTTTTGCTTTGGTTACCTTGGTATCCACTGTCAAGGACGACAACTGATCTGTAAGCGCATCAACCGGAGGGGAAAAAGACTCTAGAGTCTTCATGTATACAGGCGAACTCAAATCTTTCAGAAGCTGCTCCATGAGATTGTATGACTCTATCTCCTGCTCATACTGACCATTCCAGTGATGTGTTCTGGCAACAGCAGAATAGTAGCCGGCAGTCGATAAGCATTTGCGTGAAGTAGGCGCATCCAGCGATTTCAGAATAGCCTCAGCTTTATCGGGTCTGTTGCTCTGGGCCCAACAGTCAGCACGCCAGCTGGCATTGTCAGTCATGAGTGTCGCAGATTGTGTTGCAGAAGCAACCTTCTCAGCTTGTTCAGCGACATAAATGGCCTCATGCAGCAACCCTTGGTGAGCAAAGATTTGCGATTGCTGCATTAGAGCCCGGTACATGGATGGGACCAAAGCCCAGAAGTCAGGTCCGCTAAGGGCGCCGTGGGTGACAGACATGACAACAGGTACCCCCTTGTCAATACGGAGAGAACTCAACGGGTCAAACGCTGTTTTGCTCGGCCCATCTGCTTCGGACTCAAGTTCGTCTGCAGATGCAGCCTTCTTGGCGTTTGACCGCGATTCGAGGGCAGCCCAAATACGCCGATTCAGTGTGACACACTGCCTCGCATGCCGAGCCGCTTCTTTGTATGATCCAGCAGCAGTAGCAAACAACGAATGAACATAGGAAGCATCTGCCACTATTCTGTTGAACCGCAACCGGCCGGAGAGTGTGGTTGTCGGCTTCGCCAAGTCCAAAAACTTGGAGTCTCCAAGTGCAATAGATTGGGCATTTTCCATTATCGCCGAACTATGGTATATCAGTACACGATAAGTACAGAATGAAGATTTTTCCTTACCATTTCGCCGGATTCCCTACACCCAGCAGATATTCTGCATATGCCACGTGCCACTCCAGTCTGGCATCGATAGAACAGGTCCGGGATTTGATCAGTGCTTCAGCTTTAGCAAGGCAGAGGCCTGCTTTCCCAGTGTAACCAAGACGCAGCAGCTGTAGCCCCAAAGCGCACAGTGTGGTGAGGAGCTCGGATCCGTCGGCACTTTTTTGAAGTTCAAGAATGTTCACTAAAAGATGGAGAAGCGGCAATGCGAGGTATTCTTCGCCCTTTGCATTGAGATATTCTGCACATGCATGAAGATCTTTTAGCCAAACATCTATGTCGTCAATTCGATCACTCAGTGTATCCCAGGAAGATGCAGAGGTGACGAGAGACTCCCACATGGCAAAGCATTGCTGAAGAGTTGACGTAGGAGGAGATGATTGCTGCATCGAGGATTTGAGATCGTAAAGTGCTTTTAGATGAGCTTGATATCCCTTCAATGCTTGGTCTTGAGACTGCTCTGTTCCTACGTTCTCGTCCCAATCAAAGCCAGAGGTTTGGTTGTCTTGTGACAAGATTTGCGGATCGCTTTGTAAAAGCTGAAGAACGGCGATAGACGACCTCAGTCGTCGAACCGGGTAGGTTTCCTGGGCGTACACTATACGGAGTCGTTCGATCAAACTGCGAATTGATTTGTCTAGGGTCGAGTCCCATTTCCGATTTTTCGACAAAGTTCGTAAGTTAAAGTGCAACTGCAACTCCAACAAAGCTCCTTCGACGTCTGCATGAATTGTGCCAATGTCAAAATATGCGATTTCATCCGTCTGGCGAATCCCAAACTTTAAGAACGAATGATGGTAACCTTTCAGAAGCCTGGCAATTACACTAAATGGACCGGTATCGCTGAATGTTGTGGAAAGAGATGACTTTGCTGCAGTTTCGGAAAGCTGTTGCAGGATATCTGCAGTGAGGTGACTTTGTATACATTGTCGAAAAGC